ATAAAAGCTACTATTTTTTTGTTGGGCGATGAACTATTTTTTTAGAAATTAATAGTTCCATTTAAATTTATATGTTATTTTATATCATAAAAAAAAGGTTCTTTAGTTTTAAAATCAATTTGGTAATTTAAGTAGATTTTAATCATTTTTCAAGAGTATCATTTAAAATGTTTTAATCTCGTAGGGACTGCCAGAAATATAGATATTGAAAAACCTATTTTATGGCGTCAAAGCATATTTTTATCGCTACCATTAATACCAAAGATGTGTTGTGACAAACTCGTGAAAAAATCTAATACAATATCTTGGTTATATTATGACCAGAATGATTGTGGTTTTAATAATAAAAAAACAAGTACAGTCTTAACTAAATTAAAATCGAGCTCTTTTGGTATATTAATCATTAAAATCGGTTCTATGAAATCTGAACATTTCCATGGACGGGCTTAAAATAAACACACATTATAATAAAGTTATTTGATTAACTCGCATTCAAGCTAAAAACATATTGGTCTGTGATTATCTCTTATCTCCTATCAGTGTTTAAAAAATTTAATTATTAAATATATTATTCATAGAATTGATTAAATCCTATGTATTTTATTATAATAAAAAATATTCTTACCCGAAGACAAGAGTTTATGTTCAAAATATTTAAAGTGTATTACATTTGGTTTCTATGAATTATATTAATTTAAGTTTGAAAGTAAGTTCATTTAATTTGTGTAAATATTTGTTCATTGTCTTTTATTTGGTGTCAAAAAAATATCAAGTAGTTTATAAATTTGGTTTGTTTGTTTAAGCCGTTGAAACATTTTTATAATCGTTATATTTATTTTAAAATATTTAACTTATTACAATTATAAATTTTATACAAATGTTTATTTAAAACAAATAATAAACAATTAAAACTAATTCAAATTAATAGAAAATCTAATACAGCTGGAACCCTACTTAAAGAAGATTTAGTATAGTGTACTTATTAATAGATTGAAATCTGATAGTGATAAACATAGCTATTAAATGGTTTGATGTAATAGTGCTTAAAGAAAGATTTGCAAAAAATATTGAAATATTTTAATGAAAATTTTACTTTAGCCATATCGCTTCTAATTTAAAATGTTTTAAGTTGCATCCTTGAATTTTTAAAAATGATGTAATTTTAAAATTGAAACTGAACATATTAGAAATTTTTAGAGATTGTAATTATTGGGACATTTCCTCCTTTATTATGTGAATTGGATGAAAATGTTCAAATTATGATGCTGATGACTTCATTTAAATATAATTTTTAATCTTTTGATATGTTGTTAAGCAACATTAGTCTAGTAGAAGGGGAGAATTCATATGATCAGATATACTAAATAAAAAAAAACATTGTAAAACTGATTTCTTTTCAGCTATGCATCAAAGTTAAAATATAATTTATTTTTAATTGAAAAATAATTAAAATGCAAATTCATTTCAAACTAAATAAAAAAAAATATTGTAAAACTGATTTCTTTTCAGCTATGCATCAAAGTAAAAATATAATTTATTTTTAATTGAAAAATAATTAAAATGCAAATTCATTTCACCTGTACAGTATACTTGATTATATATTGACTATCAGATTAAATGGTAACACTATTAAAAATGTTAAATTTTTATAATTACACTAACATATTGTTGATTTAAACCAACTTAATTGACTCCCTTTGTTTTAGCAATATCTTAAACAACTTTAATTGGTCATAGCTTTTAGAAAGAACCATAAATAAAAACTAATTATTAAAATATTATTATTATTATTATATATAAATTTTGCTTAATTTATTATTTTATTTAATTAATTTATTAATTGAAGTTTTATAGATCTTTTACTGTCGATTAGTATAGCCTCAATCAATTAATTAATAAATAACTAAAATACTCTTTTAAATCAAATTATAGGATATTTGATTGCTGAAATGCATTCTAATAAACAATCAAGCCAAGTAAAAGATGATGAAGATTTACTTGAAGAGCTATTAAATAAAACAAATTGTGCTCATTTACATTATAAAGTTCAAGATTGTATTTCAACAACAAAAGACTGGAGAAAGTGTCAAGCTGAAGTGAAAGCTTTTAAAGAGTGTATTGAAAAAAATAAAAAAACATCTGATTTTAATCATGTTTGAAGTACCAAGTTATGAAGTAATTACATCTTTTGTGACTGGTGTTTTCATAGGAACTTGTATGTCCTATGGTTTTCGTAACATTAGACCATTACTATCTGGTTCATTAACAAGTCTTACTACCAATACTAAACTTGTCTTGGTTGTCAGGAATGATTTGAAAATGGGCAAAGGAAAAATTGCAGCTCAGTGTTCACATGCTTCTGTTGAATGTTATAAAGCTTCAGTTCAATTTAAACCTCAAATTGCTCAATTATGGAAAATGACTGGCCAGAAAAAAGTTGTTGTTGGTATAGAATCAGGAGAGAAAGGATTAAATGAACTGTCAAAAATTGCAAAGTCTCATAAAGTTCTTTCTGCTATAATATATGATGCTGGAGCTACTCAAATCAAAGCTGGGACACCGACTGTAATTGGTATTGGTCCTGATAATTCTACCATTATCGACCAAATAACTGGACACTTGAAATTAGTTTAAAAATACAAATAGTTTATTAAAAAGTAAATGTAAACAAAATATAAAAAATAAAAACATTAGTCAATTTGATATTTGGACGGAATTGTTTGCTATCCTAATTAAAAAAAAATTGAGTTTAATTATTTATTACAAACATAGTTATTATTGCACACAAAGTAATAATAATAACTGAATAAGGAGATATGTTAGTTGATGAGTTACAGTTGTCTTCTGAACAATAGCATTCTTCCCAGTATACTCCATTCCATTCAACTCCCCAATTGCATACTCCAGTAACACCGGTATCTGATACTGAACCACAGCGACGAATAACATTTTTCCAACGTCCATCCCCTACAGTATAAATATTAAATTATGTTGTGTTTTTATTTTAATATTTATAAATTATATTATTTACAAATAAATCCTCTGAGTCCTTGTTTTGTAACCTTAACACAAAATGTACCGGGCGTGTTAGATTCATCACTAGTGCATTCTACTGGTATATGACGATCTTTATGAAATTTTTCATAAGCACCACAATTATCAGATCCTTTGGCATCATTACTAGTGGAACATTGATAACATTGAATACTATAAGCTAAAAAATAATTTATGAAGACAATAGTAATTAAAGCGGTTTTTATTTAAAAAAGATGTAATAAGGAATGACCACACCTATAAAGAAATATAATGTTACCTTTATGTAAAATTGAAAAACTAATTATAATTAAAAAAGAATATAAAAAGATATGAGTCATTTTTCTTATAGTAGTTTTCTCTTAAAAAAATAATAAATTAAAAAATATTATTTTAATCTACAAATTTTTCACAATTAATAATTAATAAAAATTAACTTATTAGTGGCACAGACTACATAGTCTGAGGTAGTGGTGGTAGATTAGTGAGGATGATAAAGAACAAAATATAAACAAAAATATTTCGTCAGTGGTTCTCCTTTTTGATAGAGTCAACAAATTTCGAATGATGGTTAAAATATATATCAATTTTGAAATAACTATGAATTTTTCTGTAATAAGTGAAAAACTTTTATTTAAAAAAAATAAATTGTGAGAAATGATTTTTTTCAAGTAGAAAATATTTGTTAACGATGATTATCAGTTATAGTTTAAATGTTATACGCCATCTATCTATATAAACATAGGTAATATATAGATTCATGTAAACAATATGATCTATCAATTATCTCGTAAATAAAATTTTTTCTGTCTTCAGGCGATATATGATATATGCTTTTTCAATTAAGTTTAGTACAAATTATACGAAATATAATTTATAACTTATGTAAAATAGCTGTTCATAATGTAATAATACAATTATGTTGTAAAATTAATAAAAGCATATATATGTACATGCAAAGTGAATAAATAAATTGATATATCCATAGCTAATATTACGAAATGTCGATTTCAAATCTAATTTATTCACTTATAACAATTTATAACTTATAAAAATACTTTTTAAAATAAATAATTGATTATTTTGGTACATTATGGCGTATAATAGAAAGTGAGTAGGCGTGAACGATGTTTTTATTTTACAAAAAAATATTTTTGAATATCAAAAATTACATTTTTTGTATAAAAATATTTCAGTCCAGTTATGGCAACACGAGATCGAAGAAGAGATCGGACTCGACGTAGTCGTAGCCCAGTACGTAGGCGTGGTGGAGGTCGAGGAGGACGTAGTGAACCAGGATCTAATTTACGTAAACCTAAATGGGATTTGAAAAAATTGGAACCATTCAAAAAAGACTTTTATATACCTAATAAAACTGTTTACAACAGGTCAATTTTGTTTGTCCTTACAGATATATTTTTTAGTAATTTAATAAATTGTATCATTTCATATATAAATATTAAGTGGTACATGGATAATGGAGTATATATCGTAAACATTGACCTTAAAAGAACCATAATTTTATTTTATTGTTTCTATGATCAGTGGGATGTTTAGAAGTGTGGCAGAAGTCTTGTAAAAAACATTTTAGCAACATATCTTAGATATAATTAAATATTTTCATTAATAAATTTAAAAAAAAAATGTCTTACTTAAATCTGATAAACTTATATTTTTTAAGGTATAAAAATAATTTAAATATATTATCCAATGAAATTGAGTAATATTTATAAAATTTGATTATCTAATTTGCTCTCAACTTATAGACTTTTTTACTTTAAAACCTTCTCTAATGTAATATAATAACACTAGTTTTATCAAAATTGGATTAATAATAGATAAATATGCTATAGTTACCATAATTTTTTATTATTTTAGATCTAAAATTGAAATAGAAAAGTATTATGAAGAAAAAGAAATTACCTTAAAGGGTGAAAATATTCCAAAACCAATATTTAAGTTTGAAGAGAGTGGTTTTCCAGAAATCATTCTTAAAGAATTAAGGTAAAAGTTAAGTTTGTTAATAATTGAAAAATAAAAATAAGTGAAGACAATATCATTAATTATACATAATTTTAAAGTAAAACTTCTTTTTACTTACATTTATTTCCATTGTATTTTCTAAATCCATAAAAACTTATATAAAATAAATATTGAAAGTGAATGTAGTTTAAATAGTAAAAATAGTTTATTATTATAGGTAAAGATTCTCTCAGTTTTATTATAAGAGGCCTACTTTTAAAGGAAATTATTTTATAACATTTGTATGACTAGAGAATTAATAACATTTCTGTATAAAAATATTTAAAATTATACATAATTTTTGAAAGTGACACAAATATCTTTAAAATTAAATAAATATTGAAATGTATTTTCTTAAAAACAGTATCCTTAAATTAAGTACAGTTTAAAATTATTTTAGTTAGAATTCTTACTTTAAATTCCTTGTTATTGTAGATTTTGTTTTATATAATAGCAAATACTTAAGCTTTGTTATTTGTTAGGGTTAGTTATGGAATTTTTACAATTTCTTTTTTATTTATTGTTAAATAATTAAAATTGTATCATTAAAGCATATTGTAGAAATATTTAATAAATTCTGAATTCCTGATTATTTTGTGTTTAGAATTAATTTTTTTCTGAAAGTAATTAAATAAATATTAATATTATAATTAATGAGATTTAATTGATCCCTTGTCAGAAATAATGTGCTATGTAACAATTTTTTAAATTTCATTTTTTGTATATTAAATTGAAAATTTTCCATATATACTTAGAATCAGAAAAATCCATAATAATAATCGTATTGACATGGGACTTAGCGATAGTTAAATTAACTAAGAAAATTATATTGTTTTTCTTCAATACTATAAAACATTCAAATTGATACATAGTGTGTTAGTCCCACCCAAGTTTTAATTATTTTTTAATCAATTTGATTAGTTATGAACTTATTAACTTAAATTTAAATAAAATTATTTATTATAGGAATCAAGGTTTTGTTGAACCTACTGCAATTCAGGGCCAAGGTTGGCCTATTGCCTTATCTGGTAACAATTTGGTTGGTATAGCTTCAACAGGATCTGGGAAGACTTTATCAGTAATTTTTTTTTTATTTAAATAGAAATGTATGAAATTTACTTAACAAATTATTTTTTCTAGTATATAATACCTGCATTAATTCATATTTCACATCAAAGAACTTTATCTCGTGGTGATGGTCCAATTGTATTAGTTTTATCTCCTACACGAGAGCTTGCACAACAAATCCAAACTGTTTGTGATGATTTTGGTAATGCATTTGGTGTTAATAGTACATGTTTATTTGGAGGAGCTCCAAAAAGCGGACAAGTGTGTGGTTCATTAATATATTTTATCAATTAATAATAAGTAAATTTTGTTTATAGGCAGCTGATTTAAGTCGTGGTGTAGAGTTAATTATTGCAACTCCAGGACGTTTACTTGATTTTCTTGAGCAAGATCGCACAAATATGTGTAGATGTACATATCTTGTTTTGGATGAGGCTGATAGAATGTTAGATATGGGTTTTGAGCCACAAATTAGAAAAATTATAGATCAAATAAGAGTAAATAATATTTTGTGCTTTTTTTTTACAATATATAACACTAATAATAGGGTTCGGGACGTAATGCTTTTATAAAGGTTTTTTTAGTCATCTCGAATACATTAATGATAAATAGATATTCGTTTTTGTTTTTCTTAATTTTAACTTACGTATATTAATTACGATTTTATTTTTGGGAGAGGGCGTGGGGGTTCATTCTCTCTAGAACAAAAAAAGTACCTGTAGTACTGTGTGTATATGTGATAAGTTTTCATGTAGTTGGATGTTTCATAAGGGGTCCAAACAAATTTTGTTAATGCATTAAGTCCTGAACCTTACTAATAACCATAGCATTTATGATGTATTATTTATAGTAATAAAAAAAATATTAAACATTTTAATTGTAGCCTGATAGACAAGTATTAATGTGGTCTGCAACATGGCCTAAAGAAGTAAGAAATTTGGCAGAAGAATTTTTAGATAACTACATTCAAATTAATATTGGTTCATTATCATTAGCAGCTAACCATAACATTCAACAAGTAGTTGATGTTTGTCAAGAGTATGAAAAAGAAACAAAGTATTATACATTCATTTAATTTTATTAATATTTATCTATTATAATTTAATAATATAAATTATATTTAGATTAATTTCTCTATTAAAAAAAATAATGGACGAAGAGGAAAATAAAACAATTGTTTTTATTGAAACTAAAAGACGTGTAGATGAAATAACCCGAAAAATTAAAAGATACGGGTACTTTTTATTTATAAATTTTACTTAAAGATTATTCTTAAATTTGTTTTAAATTTTTAGGTATGCAGCTGTTTGTATACATGGAGATAAATCACAATATGAAAGAGATAATGTTCTGAAAGGTAAAATAAATATTTTGTTACATTATTTAATGTAGCATAGAGAACATTAAATAATCTATTTTTAAATTGTGTAATTTAGAATTGTTTTCAATTTAAACCTTAAAATAATAATAAATTAATATCTCATTGTTTTTAATTTGTTTTTTATCATTTTAAGATTTTAGAGACAGTCGTTATCCTATATTAGTTGCTACTGATGTTGCTGCTCGTGGACTAGGTATGTAAACTTTTTTTAATAATATTAAATATTTTGTTATTTTTAATAGTTGTAGATGTCTTTTTATCAGTTAATGCCCAATCAGGTAAAATATAATAGACAATGTCTAGAAAGTTAATGATAATTTAACATTGTTTCAGCTATGAAGCTCTTTCTTTTTTTATCTTTTTCGTTAAAAGGTTATTATTGTTTAATACAAAAATGGTATTTTCTTAACTGAATAGGTAATTTAATCATAGGTTTATCAACACAAAGAACTATCAAACTAAGGCAAACTATTTCAAAGTCAATCTTTTATTTGACACATATTTTATTACCATATAAACAATACTAAAAGAGTGACACTTATTTAAAACTTTAAAATCGATTATTTCAAAACATATTTTTTTAGGAAATACCTTTTTTATACCTAGACCCTCAATTATAATTTATTATGAGTTTAAGACCAGCTAACTACTTACTCAAAAAAAGTCAATGGCAGCAATATTTCAAATATTCTTAAACCACATCAAGATTTTTGACATCATCACTGAACTTCTTATTTCATTCAATTTCTTTAATTATTTAAACAGCTTAGTTGAAAAATGATAAGCTTTTTATAATTTTCATTTACTTTTCTAATTCTCATACTTACAAAATTTTTAGTAAACATTAGGTACAGCAGATGGTTTCTATTAAAGTCGTATTACATATTACAAATAAAACATTAGTTGTGTTTGCTATACCACCATCTTCAAAAAAAAAAAAAAAAAAAATTGTTTAATCACATTTAATAATGACTGCTTTTTTAAACAGGTACTGTAAGTATACAATAATCTATCAGTTTATTTTTTTTAAAGAAGGATTTGTGTAAGCTTTACCAAGATTGTAGCATAGACTTCAATAATAAAATTAAAAAAGTTTGAATATATAAAAACTAATGGTATATAGCAAAAAACTATACTGAAAATTTAATGGGCAGACACACTGATAATATATATTGAAAGATTATATTTTACTAAGCTTTTCCAAACATGTAATTAAATACAAAAATTATTACCGAATCTAATAAAAACAAAAAATTGACTAAATATAGTTAATTTAATAAAATTAATTTTTAAAATAAGATTATACTAAATTATCAAACTTTTGATCTGAAAAATGTTTCTTATTTTTTACAATAACTATGAATATATAAGGTGATTCTTTTAACTTATCTATTCAATAACTTAATATTAAGAATTATATTTCTGATTTTTTTTAATTTTATATACTTCTCAATTTATTATGAAGTACTTTTTAGGTTCATCCCTTATTCTTTAAAGGAGTGCTAAATTTTTTCTTTTTAATGTCAACAATCATATTAAGTATCTTAAATATTCATGGACATAGCTTATAAAAAAAAATAGCCCTTGGTGGCTGTAGTTCTATACCATGTTAATAATTTTAGATAACAAATCTTTCAGGAAATTTCTTTACCACATTTTTTTATCTTCTCCTCTCACTACCCAAAAATTTGATTAACTTATGGTGAATAAAAATTTTTCTACAGAAGCTGAAGCTCCCACAGCTTCCATACAAACTATACTAATATATATAATGTAAAATAATCAAATTTTAAAAATGGTTGGTAGATAATAACTGTTTCAGTTATTTTTATTAATATTATTATTTAATGAACTAATTACTTTAGAAGTTATTACTATTTTTACACCTAGACATAATAATAAGTGTTGTGAATAATTTTCTTATAATAAAATTAGTCATACGTGTACCAAAAGTTGTTGTTGACCAGTAATTTTTATTATTTGATTACTTTCCATTATATAAACTCTTTAAATACATATGTTTCTATTAAAAAATGGCACTTCTATAAAGAATAAGGGATAAATATAAAAAGTACTTAATGATTGATAAAAAAAAAAAAGTATATGAAAATGTAAAAATTTGAAAAAAAATCTTTATGTTTCTTTTAGAAGAAATTGAGTTGCATTATTAAAAGAATCACTCTGTATAGGCTTAAATAATTACTTATTAAAATATTATAACAAGTTATTAGTTTAAAGAAAACAGATAATTTCTATACAATCCTCAGTAAATAAAAATTATAATTTATCAAAGTCATAAATTAAGATATTTAATTTAACTTCACTTATACTGATCTATTAATGCATATAATTTAGTTTAAAAAAAAATGTTTTATTATTTAAAAATATTTATGTAATTTACAAAATTTCAACAGAATTAATTTGTATTGAAATTTTATTATGGGTGTTCTATATGTTATTTTTTTGTTTTATTTTACATTACAGAGGCACACAGAAGCTGTACAATGCGTACTAAATTAAAAATAGTTTTAATAATGTTTCAATGTTGTCGCATTGTCGACGCTGTGCCTCGAGTATGGACATGCATAAATTAATTGTGTGTCGTATGGTCTAAGTATTTGTGGCAGCTCGGGCTACATGAGTAGTTTGAGTGGTCACCGAACAGCAGCTACGTGGGTCTATTGGCATTCCACACTGCTATGCCCATCGGACCTTGACCTGTCTGTGTGTCTTATAACGTATCCAACATCTATCATTGTCCCACGTGGGACACTTTAAAACTTACATCGGATGTTGATGGTAAATAGCAAATAAGCTTAATGTTTACAATGTTTTATGGAAGTATGTTATGGTAAATGATTAATAATGGTTTTTATAAGTCGAGAAAGATATCTAACAAAAATGTACTACATTTATGTACAAATTTTGTATGATTTTAATTTAATTTACACATTTTAGATGTTGAAGATGTTAAATTTGTTATTAATTTTGACTATCCAAATAATTCTGAAGACTATGTTCATCGAATTGGACGTACAGGTCGATCTCACAAGACAGGAACAGCTTACACGTTCTTTACACACTCTAATGCTAAACAGGCATCTGACCTAGTAGCAGTTCTTACTGAAGCTAATCAAACTATCAACCCAAAGTTGAGGGAGATGGCTGAAAATTGGCGCTCTAATGGAACTTCTGGGAGAGGTACATTTAATGTTATTGGTTATTACATTAATAGTTTATATATTATTTTACAAAATATGTGTCTGATATTAATTACCTATTAATTATTTATTAATAAGGTGATAGAAAACGTGGTTGGAGAAATGGTAGATCTAAAAATTCTAAAAGTCGTTCAAGAAGTTGTGAACGCTACAGACGAAGATCAATGTCAAAATCAAGGTCTTATTCTCGAAGTCGCTCCAGATCATATGAGAGACATCGTAGACATAGAAGACGCAGCAAGTATTATGAATAAATAGTTTTATTATTACTCAAGATATTAATTAATAAATTATTTTATTATTTAGAAGTTCAAATTGAAGATATTACAACTGTCTATAAAAAAATTAACTCATTATTATAATATAATGCTATGCACATTATTTCTTAGTGACAATTTTTGTGTTTCTCAATTTTCTTTTGTGTCTAAAAATAGATAATCTCTTCTTCTATCTAAAATAAATTTTAAAAAATTATTAACTTTATAATTTTAAAATAGTAATTGCATTTATATTAAATATATGTATTGTTGTGATTAGTATTTATTTCCTTAAGATTAAGTAAAATGAGTACTTAAATTTGAAAAAATTACTTAATTCAATTATGTGAATATTATACTTAGTAAAATTATTTGATTTTATTAGTTTCAATTATAACAATTAATTTCATTTATTAATTTTATTAACTAAATTAACTACTTAAAGTATATAATTATGTATTTGTTTTAAAATTAATTATTTCTATTAATTATTGGTGATATAATATTTTTAGAATTAATACAATTAATTTTCTAGTCGACTCACTATATTATTATTTAACACTTGTCGTATAAAATTTATCGGAAAAATATTTTGTGTTTAATTTATTATACATTTTTATATTAGTATTATATAACATATTTAGGAAAATCAATTATACTTAAAATAATACTACTAATAAATTATTATTAATAAAAAGAATATAATTATATAAAAATCTAATTGAACTTTAAGATTTTACAAAAATATTGTAAGTGGTTATTGAAAGTCAATAATCTTTATGTAATAAATTATATTATTCAAACATTTGAGGAAAAAATGAGTGAGCAAGAATTGTAATAGTTTTATAATATTTTAAATCTATCGTTTGTTTCTATACTCATATTCATTATCCCAATGTTTATATATATATATATTTTTTTGTAAATTTAAGTATTAATATCTTACAACGATATTGAGTTTTGTCTGTAATAACATAGATTTAATCTATGATTATAAGAAGCAAATAAAAACTTAAGCTTTTGTACTTAGATAGAACTATAAACATTCAATAAATTATTCACTTTATATTAAAAAATTGATGAATATTTAGAGATGTGTTTTAATATTCATTAATGATTACATAGAGAGTAGTTATGAACATTACCGAGTGAATGCTATGAAATATTCAATAGTCTAAAATTATCGATAGGAACATGTTTTTCGATAGTATTTAGTTATTGAATAATCGATACCAAACTACCGACAGTCGAACTGTTATATTATGCAAGTAAAACAACTAAATGAAACAATATATATCTTATTTGAATGAAAATTTGCACGACTGTAAAATGTTGACTTTACAATTATCAAGTAAAATTAAACCCGAAAAAAAGTTATATAGATATGTTCATTTTTAAAAAAGTTATGGTAGTTTTTAGTAAAAAAAATTGAAAAAATTTCGAAAATTAGCGATTTTTAAATTTGTAATTTTTTTGGAAGTTTCCCCCATTTACGGGGAACAACGGAAATTTTTTCAATTTTTGAGGGTAATGTCTTCCACTAAATACGATTTGTGATCTTTTGACGTATCGTTGAAAGAAATCCGTTCGGTGAGAGCTGAGAAAGAGTGGTAACAGACACAAAAAAAAAAAAAACACATAGTAAAATAATACCTTCTCAGCTTCGCATCGAAGCTAAAATCAGTATACATTATTTATAGAGTCGAAGACTTTTTTTTGCTTATTTCAGAATAAAAATAGAGAAACATTTTTTTGATGTCCAAAATATAAAGGAGCAGTAAAATTTAGAGCCGCGGGCGGCACAATTGCTAAATGCCGTCCCTGATTATAATAATTGTAGATGTTATTCGAATGAAAACTATCGAACATTTTGCACGGTAGCTTGATAGTCTAAAACTAGTCAGTCGTGGATAATAACAATGGAATGATTATTAATAAATAATTTTTTTTTAACTATCAGATATACCGGTGGTCATAACTATTGAATAGTGCCCATCACTAGCATAAGTATTATCTACTGTCATGAAATCTCATGATAACGATAAGATTGTAAGCTATGATAAGAGCTTTGTTTTTTCCATCAGTAGAAATATAGATGATTTTAAATTATAAGTTTACTTTTGTACTTTAATTCTACAGTTGTTTTATTAATATTCATAATATTTGTTTACGTTAATGTTATTTTATACATCGACTTATAGTAACAAATAATCATATTTTTGAATCTAATATTTAAGTAATGCGCCAAAATTTGAAAGCCATAATGTATTTCATGAAATAAATTTTATATATTATCAACATATTTAACCTATTTAAGCATGTGAAACACAAAATTAATTAATTAATTCTGGTCAATGTATCTATTTCATATTGCTTTTTTCACAAAAAAATCGATTAATAATTAATAATTGTAAAATGTTGACTATTTTTTTGGGGTTACGTTCAATAAAATATTTTGGTGTTTCAAAATATAGCCAGGGTTTAAAAAAGATCAACATAAAAAATGCTTTCAGTACTAAACGTAATAACACCCAAGAAAAAAATGTACGATCTACTGTCTATTATTTATCAGCATTAGGTGTACTTACAGTTGGTCTTAGTTATGCTGCTGTACCATTATACAAAATGTTTTGTCAAGTATGTAATTTTAAGTATTCTAATTCTTAATCTATTTTTCTAAACATTGAAATAATATTGGAACATTAATTTTTATGATAAATGTTATTTACATAGGCATTTAGTTATGGTGGTACATTAAGTCACAATATTGAAGAATCTAAATTAGAAACAATGAAACCTATTGCTCACCGCCAAATTAAAGTACATTTTACTGCTGATACTTCTTCTAATATGCAATGGAATTTTAAACCTCTTCAAACAGAAATTAAAGTGAGCATTATATCATTTATTTTTTGAATAATGTTAAAATGATTTTTAATGTATATTATGTATTTAATCTACAGTTAAAATTGAAATATTTGATGACTTTTTATTCAATAATAATGTAGTTGGACACATATATAGGGTGTTTAGTAAGTAAGGAAATTTGTCAGCTGTTACAAACTAGAAGAACAATAGAAACCTATTTCCTTACTTACTGAACACTATATGTATAGCTTTTTAAAAAAAGTATTCATACCTTGCATTCAATTTTTATCTTAAAACTTCAAAAAGTTTAAAAACTCTTAAATAAATAAAAAAAGGATTATTTTTTAATGTTAGTTTTATTACAAAAAAATCATACATTTTAATCATATCTTGCGTAATGGTATTATGATTTTTTTAGGTAGCACCAGGTGAAACAGCATTAGCATTTTATACAGCCAAGAATCCTTTAGATAAACCAGTGACTGGTATCAGTACATATAATGTTGTACCATTTGAAGCTGGACAATATTTTAACAAAATTCAATGTTTTTGTTTTGAAGAACAACAATTAAATCCCAAAGAAGAAGTAATAAGTACTGATATTTAATTGTTGTTGAAATTTTAATATATTTGTTTTTTCATAAATAGGTTGATATGCCAGTATTTTTTTTTATTGATCCAGATTTTGTTAGTGATCCAAAAATGGAAAATATAGATGACATAACTCTCTCTTACACATTCTTTGAAGCAAAACAAGGAGTTAATTTACCTTCTATTTTTAATCAATAATTGTTGTTGGACATATTAGAGTTCTATACTTAGATATGTAATTTATTTTTGCAAAATACAATCAATTGTATAATTTTTTGTATTCTTGTTTTTAAATGAGGTGTGGTCAAATTATAAATAGTTGTAAAAAATAGGAAACACTTAAAAATTATAGTTGTTTTAAAAAATAAGTAGTTTATGATACAATTGTTTGAATTCAGAATTCATTGAATTTTCAAAAACAATTGAAAATTTAGAAATTTAATTATACCTAAAACTTAAATATCCCATTATGTATAAATTATTAGTTTTAAGAATCACCAACAAAAGTATAAAGAAAGTTCCACTTCTTATGCAAAGAAATTTTTGATCATTTTATAATGTTGAATGATTTGATAACTTAGTACACTACTAATCTTGGCCTACATAAAATTTTTTACAATTGTATATTTAACATAATTCATATTTTAGTTGTATTATTTGAATTGTAGAAAGTTAATATCAACCATTAGGAATTGATATTATTGAATGTTTGCATATTTATGTAAACATTCAAAGTATTATAATATCTTATTAAATACTTATAATTTCAAGTCAGATTTAATAGTAAAAATTATTGATAATTTGTGGCAAATATTTAAAACATTTAATTACAGGATCTAGTTTTTAAAAGTTGACTTAATGGAAAATGTTCATACTATAGTCTTTTTAATAGTACTATGTTAATGATTCACATTAAACTTCATACTCCTAAGAGCAAGTATAAAATTCAATAAGTGTAATCCAGAACAGTGAAATTCAATGAACTTTTAAATTGAGCCTTAATTTTTAATTAGATTGTGATATTTTCATTATTTTGTGGTATATTGAAATGATTGATTAGTAAGACCTAGAGTATTTGAAATGAAAAATACGTCTTAATTAGATAAAAATTTCCTTTGACGTGTATTAAAAAGACAACACATAGGAAATTCTATTAGTAAAATAAATTAGTCTATTAGCTTTTTAGTGTTATTATTCAAAACACTATTGTAGTTAAACCCCCTTGTAAAATGACTATTTGATTATTACAATTTTTTTATTAGCATTAACATGAAGAATCAACTGATATTTTAAAGAATTTTTAATTTTCTGGTATGAATAATAGATTTATAAATATCCGACAATATAAAATGTTATAATTTTCCAATAAAACAAAATTTTAACTTTAGAAAATGTTATTTATACTTTGATTTTTTTTTATTCTCAACTATTTATCACTACTTTTCTAATAACTCGTATAAACATTTTTCTATATATGTAAAGAATTTTTTGTTGGAGTTTGAAAAAAAATTAGAAAAACAACAATTTTTGAATAATTAGTTTACTTGATAGTAACACTTTGACAAGTATAATATAATAATTAATAATAATAAAAAAAAAACCTTTGCACATTTTCCGAAATTATCTTTTACAAAGTATACATCCAAGGCTAATAATAAACGTATTAGTTTTGTCATTGAATTAAAAAAAAAAAAAAAAAAAAAGGACAAGAACCACTGAAAATCAACACTAAAAAATGGCCAACTGGCTAAACAAACACGTACAAATTTAAACTAATTCATGTGCCCAAATAAATGTGTTTACCCATAAGAATAAGAACATTGTGTGGTATCTGTATTTAATTAGTATTGGTAACAATATTGTAATGCAAACTATTTTTCATAGAAAAGATTGTTTTATATTTAAATATTGTCTCATAATACTTCAAACTGTTAAAAACAAAAGGTAAAAGTATTTACAAATGAATCAATTTGTTTTCAGAAATTGAAATTTTAAAAAATTATATATTATATACATATATAGTATGTACTTAAAGTCGTATCTATCACAAAACGAAATTTGCTGTCAATCAACAAATATATCGTTGAAAAATAATAATAAAAATAAAACAAAACGTATTTTACTATGTACAAACGTTTCATATATAAATTAAATATTAGTGTACAATTGTTTTTCATTTATCTTTATATATGTATAATAATTATTTTAAATGTCTTTCATTACGTCATTTCTTATCAACAGAACACAGTTATATAGATGTCCAAGTAAACAATTTTGGGAGCGCAAATCTTAAGAAACAATAACATTTTTTTTATTATCTTTTCTATTTAACAACTACAAAAAAAAAAAAAAAAATTAATAATAATAATGATAATAATAATAATAGTAATAATAATAATAAATGAAAAACTATTTTTCAACTCTCATACAAATTGAGTACAATTATTATAGATTTGTTTATACCAAAAACAGTTTCGGAATATAATATACCAAGGATCTTTCTGTTACAAAATAATATTTTATTTGTGATATAAAACAATGACGAGGAAAACATGTAACTTGTATTTATATACAATTTTGTCAAAAATTGGTAAAAAATTCATTGTCCTTAACACGCGCGAATAATAATATAGTACAAGTAAACCAGAATAGAAACTAAATTTAATGTATATAATATAAAAAACTATAATTCACAAGGTGGAAATAATATGCGATATTGATTTGCGCGCTTAATTTCTTTCTTTATAATACCTCAAAGGCATTTTCTTTTTCATTTTTTTTTTGGACTTTGTACAAAAATTTTCTTTAATTTTTTCCTAAACCTTAAATTAATTAATATATTAAAAAACTATCTTGACACTTGATACATCAGTCGTTACTTAGTTTTGTGGTTGCATAGTTTAAAAGGGGGGAAGGGTATGCATCGAGTATTATATACATGGAAAGGGTGATAATTGAAAAGGGTTTGGACTGTAGGGAGACTAGTTTGGCGTATGTTGCTGTTACTGGCCTGAGGTAGAGGAGATATGGGCGGTCATACAATTTTAAAGGCTAGGACAGATATAAGTAGGGAGCAATTGGATCAACGTTTGAGATCTGTAGATCAATATATTTGGTCTTGGCCTTTGGACCCGTTATCTCCTGTCTCGATACAGTAAATATACGCTCAATGACTGGGGCAGATTTAGATCCATGACACGTTCTTCTAGATATTGTTTGCCAATTCGCTGTCTAATGACTCGCCTACATAAGTCCATTAGTGGTAAAGGTTCAGCTGTAAAAAAAAACCTTGTCAGGAATATATTGCAATTTTTTATTTTTTATTTTAACACTTACGATCAAGACCACCAATATATTTCATCGTAATTTCGCAGTGACCCCAAACAGCACTAACAATTGGAAATAATTTCCGGCCTTTTAGGCCTCTAAAGGCAACTCCTAAGTACTGTCCATCAACAACAAAGGACAATGTACCCTCGTCCATGTCTAAAACGACTTTAAAAAAAAATAAATAAATATTTAAGATGCGTACAATTCATATTTTTACACATTAAATATAAAACTTACCTAAAAATTTATCGGGCACAATAAACGTTTCGTCCGGCTTGAGTAGAGCTGGATACGTAATGCCGTCGTAGCTTTTTGAATCATGGTATAATTTGTTACGCCCTAAATCCCAACCCCACGATTGGTCATTGCTTCCCACTAAGCTTTGGTAACCGACCGAGTGAAGTGGTGCATCTTGCGTCGCCACACCGACTACTGCATGTGTTCCACGCTGCCTAGTCGACCAGTTAACTTCCCAAACATGCAAACCTTTGGTTAAGCCAGTCTTGCCTCTAATGCAATCTGTGCTTTGAGCTACAGGATGCCTATGGAATGTTAATTTATCTTCTTCCTGTTAACAGAAAACGTTTTTCTTTTGTCAATACAATTATCCAGAATATGATGATGGATGAATTACCTTAACAAATATATTTAGAGACCTATCGTCTGCGTTCCAGGCGTGTTTGACTTGTACTTCTTTGGATGCCGGTGGCATGTCTAACAATATGTCTAGTCTGGCCGGACGAGCGAAATCTTGAGCCAGTTCTCTTGGCACTACTGGTTTGTATGGTTGCGCACTTTCGCGGCTAACAGTTTTAACTCCACCTGAGAAGTAAATGCACAATTAGTTTGAATTACAAAGGTATCGTCACGTTATTCGATAGGCAAGTAAAATAAACGTTAGGGGTTAGGTTCTGTTTTGATGATTTTTTAAATCGGTGGTTCGCGTAATATATCTCCTAACTCTAAAATACGTTTGAAATAGACTAATTGGGTTTTGAGCTAACCAAAAAAATCATAAATTAAACTGATGACCATGTGTAAACGAATGACGAGACTTCTAAATATTTTCAGCACAGAATGGAAAATAACACCCAAGTTGAACTCATTCGAGGCGTTCATAATTTCAAGCGTACTTACTTATGGTTTTGCCAACGGTGACGGCATCGGTGGCCACATGATCGCCTCGTTCGGTACCGGGGAACGTCCTGTTAGTCATTGGAACGGTAAACGCGAAACCGAAAAAGGTGCGAATTCTATTATTTAATATGATGTATTAACGAAATTACCGACAGTGTCACACAATTGGCCGCAGAAAAAGTGCGGTGGGTTCATACAAATAAAAATATACAGATATATATATATATATATATAAATATACAACAATATTATTTCCGAGTGTACACAAATAAATATATTAATATATATTTTAATATAAATTAGTTATAACGAAAAATAACGCGACTCTGTGTATATATTTTTAAAGTTTAATAGTGGGTATTTAACGGCCGATGAGTAACACGCGGTGCTTAGGACACGACTACGGCTGTGGTTCGTTCGTTAGATAAGAAAACGTGTTTTAAGGTTGGAAAAATTGTTGTCGATAAATCCGACTTTGAATAATATCACATTGTATTTTTAGAGTCCGATCGTGAATTTGCACAAAATATTGATCAACGTGTACACGTGGTATTATCGTAATCGTTTTATTTCATGTACCGTCGCAAGCACACACCACGACAACTTCTTACAACGGCTCCACCTATTCTCAAAAAGTAATTTTTACCTACACGAGTGTGCATGCGGTTGCGTTGTGGCGGAGCTCGCGAAAATGTTGAAATAGAGTTTTATGGGAACGTCGTATCGAATGGGGCACAAGAACAATAGGGCTACTATTATTATTTCGCTTTGTTGCGTCACAATCACTCACTAGATATTTTCTGGCCCATGTTCATGGCCCGATGGGCTCTGGTTCGCTGTCTGTGTCCTGCTCCGATACTGACGTAGGGCGACGCAGCGTTGCCTTTGTTCAAATGGGACAGCACGGACACGGAAGCTTTATAGTTGTGGCGCCTGAGCTCTCTAAGCTCAACGCCAGACGACGTCACACGACTGCTACCGCCGCCAAGTACAGCAGCGGCCGCTGCCGCGCCTAAATTACCACTGGTGCCTACTAATGCGCTGCTAGCACCACCCAGAGCACTACCACCGGTGCCCTTCAGTCTGTAAAAAAATAAAAACAAATTATCAGTATAATTTATAAATAAAATGTCACGAGAGTAGCCAAAAATGTATTTACTGAGGGTAAAATTGTTCACACTACATTGAAATCGTACATCAAAAGCACATCGTTTTATATGCGCCATTTTTTTTATACGATTATTATAAACTAGAATAATAAACTAAAACAATATTGAATACTTTAAAAACGAAACTTTTCGTAAATCATTTTATAAAACAACGTCTATAATACTACAGCAGTTGAGTAGTTTGGAGTATTTAATATTATTTCATTTCATTTATGCAGAAACATGTGAAGTCAACACAAATGAAAGAACACAACTAACACAAATAATGTAAAAAAACCATTAGTCAATTATAACAATTATTTACCGCGTTTAAAATCGATTAGACTTTACGCCGTGGAACTATTTGTAAATTACGCAAAAGTCAATGAGCGTAATACGGTTCATTATAAACATAGTTGACTATCGAATAATACTTAAAAGAACAGTGTTAACGATGGCGGTGTTTTGTTGAACTATTGAAAAAACGAATTACAGCACCTCGACTCCGCTGTATGCGACAAAAACAGAGATTACCAAAGTGCCAGCAAAAAAAAAAAAAATCAACGAAAATAATGTAATATTCGTGTAGGTGATAGTAATATATTTTATTACTTTAGACTTAACAGCGCAATGAAGATTCAATGTCGCTAATTTTTTTTTTTTTTTGTGACTTTTGGCATCAGTGTTTTATTTATTTATTCATCTTGATGTTATATATTGCAATGTTATTTATTTGCTTAAGGCAGCACTTTAAAAGTGTTTTCAATGACGTAAAGAAGATTTTATAATATTTTAAATTATACAGTTTTGGCTATTTAGGTTTGGACAAAAAAAAAAAAATCTTCGATTAATATCACTTTTTTTTTTAAGTAAATTTTCATCGAAGTAAAAATATTTTTGACAGAACGTCATTTCAACAAATATACTTGACAGTGTAACTAATCGAGTTTACTGATAAATTAAATCGATCCCATTAGTTAGATCACCATGTCTTAACTGTACAATCGCTACTGAAAGTGTAATATTTTCTAGTGAAAATTAGATATATTGGGACAATAGAAACGAAACTGATAGTTACGTAAATAATTATTCGTTGGCTAGAGACTCAGTTTGATTGATAAAGTAATAATAACCTTTTATTATTTATTTCACAAATTAACTGATAGTTTATCAACATTTTGTAGTGTTGGCTTTCAATACAATAATTATACAAATGATTTCAAAGTCAAGGCCTAATATTTGATACGGCGATAAAAAACATATTATACGCCATGACACAAATGTCTAAAACCAGCCTGTTGTTTTTAACATTTCAACTTGAGTTTTTGCGATTTGACCACAAGTTAACAAATATGTTGTCGTGTATACCCACCACCAAAGTATCGATAGCACAAAAATTATTTATATAGTACGAGACGGGGTCGACCTGATTTTGGTCGAAAGAATAACATTGAAAGCGCTGTAATTCGTTAGTAATGGTTACATTGTTTCAAAAGGTGTTGATATTAAGTCGTCTCGACCGAGGGCACATCCTTGAATGTCCTGCAGAGGACGAAACGACCAAAATGACCAGCAAACAACACACAACTACTCGAACTAATACTTAAAACGAATTATAATAACATATAAAGGGCCGTCGAGAACGACATGCCCGTCACGTGTCGACCTCGATGAGTTATTGCGCGAGACGACCGCTTTTTTTTTTTTAGATTTGAAAAAAAATCGAGAACGTACACAATGCGCAGTAAAACGTTTAAAACAGCCAGCAAAAAAGTTCGATTTTATTGAACTTGTATTAAGGAGAAGTCGGTGGTCTGTAACACATCAAGTGATACACGGTAGTTGTCTTTTTGGGTGCGCTCGCAGAGGAAAGTTGGTCCTAACCCCAGTCGAGTAATCATACGCATACGAGCTGAATTAGAAATAATAAACATACAATCGGTACAACAATAGAAGTGGGTCTAGTCTTGAAAATAACATTTTCATTTCAGGGTAAACAAATGTGAGGATTTTACTATTCCAAAACATAAAATTAGCTTGCGGCGTCGTTTATTGTTGTAAGTCACAAATTGCCGTTGTGAAAACAACAGTGAAAGTGACGGCAGCACAAACACAGTGTGTACAAAGCAACCATGGATGAAACTCAAGGATAGGCCAACTACAAAATCTGAATACAATCGGTTTATGAGAATTTTAACACTCGTTCTAGACACAAGGATTGTACTTCAAAAGCGAAACTATTTGATTTTTTAACGACAGCATTCAGTCGACACATTGCCGGCTAGGCTGTTTCGATGGCACGTCTGGAATTAAAATATCCACATGCGCGTATGTTCAGAGGGCCCCGAGAGATCGGCGGCATCGCAATTGACGACGTTGGGTCTGGCCGTTTATAATCCGACCGGATACGACTTCGCCGGAAGCCTTGGCGTTTTATAATTAAAATCGTACACCCACACCGAGAGGGTTGTTGGGAACAAATGCGCGAAAGGGGTTCGCAGAGCTTTTCCGTATGTGCACACTCGCATGTACAATGTAGAGCACACGACCGGGTGAGCACATCAACAACAGCAGCACCGAACAAATGTAATCCGGGAAGGCGCGTCCTGCGACTGAAAACACAAAAAGGGGCCGAGCGCGTTCGTCGAGTATCGATTCGCGCGAACGGGGCCTTACAAAACGTGACTCATCGAGGGAACATAGTGGCGACTGCTTTTTTTGTGCATTACGCTAGAACGACGTCTTCGCGTAGCACAGAAAAAAAAAAGCATCCGTTGAAAATTATAAATCGAACGTTCCATTTCGTACTCAAAACAGAATTGGGTCTGAGCAATCGTGTGCCTCCCCCGGCAATCTCCTCAGAGAGAAAATCGTTACGGTCAGTGCGAAAAGAAATTACTTTAACGACCGCGGTGGTCAAAAAACACCGTTGGAAAACTCATTATCAACGTGAGCGCAGACTGAAATCGTGTCATTGCAAAAGTGAACGGCGGGACCGCCTTGTTCGTCTTCTCCTCACTATCAGCATAACAGCGGTGGCGACGACGACGTTACGTATGTTCACGTAACGTATTATATTTAAGCCGCTTTCTCCCGCTGCCGCCTCTACTGTTATATACTGGTAACTGGTTCATTGCCGATAGAAGGCGACGACGGATGCTCCGTTTGGCGCTTACAAAAAAATAAATAAAAAAACAGTACTATTTACGAGGTACTTTTACTTTCTCCCGAGTGGCGACTGTGTCCTAGATGAGCCGCTCAAAAAAATATCTAACGATCGGCGTGGAATTTTTTGCGCAATGAGACGGCCGCCGCAAAGGAGAGAGAACGGCGGCAGGACGAGAAAAGAGACCAACACCACAAAGAGAAACCTTACAGCGTATTCGTTTATACACACGAGACGGATAGAAATCAGAGAAGTGCCGCTACACGTGTTTCTCGTAGGCCCAAACACACGGTGGCGACACTAAAGTGCCATAACACCAATGCAATGTGTGCCCATGAAATACACGTCCGTCGTATCCGGACTACCTTAACGGCATATGGGCGAAACGCAAAATAATAATTTACCGAAACTATTAATGATAATGACGATATGAGATAATAACGTGTTATGTACTGCTGCGTTGTCCGGTCCGACAAACACATGCGTAATAAAGCGAATGAAAACAAGACCGGACACACGCGGTCGACCATTACAACGAACACATAATTACCTCAAAACATACGATAATTACGGAATTTTATTCAAATTAGTTAATGCGTCTACAGCAGTTGTTTATTTTATATTTTTATCATTTGACAGTTAGTGCGGCTGCAATAATGTCGTAGCCAACGTATCGCAATCTTGTGCACGTGCCAAATAGAGACTTCCTCGTTGCTTTACAATAGACACGCGTAAGCGCCAACATTACTGCGACGGAAGGAAAACTGCGAGAAAGATAAAAGGAAAGAGAAATCTATTGATCGGTCACCGCGGCGGCATTTTTCCTCTTAATGGCTTTTTACGGGCGACTCTCGTCATTAGGTGGAAGATTTTCATGAAAATTACTCAATCGGGTCACGAGTTCCGCTCTGAAAAACGCTCGACCATGAAACGTAACTCATTTTTCGAGTGAAAGTCGAGTTACGCAGTGCTCAACGGGCGGCAGCGACGGTGGTGAGAGGTTCGAGTCGTGGACAACGAGGACGTGGGATGCCGATGCTTTTGTGCCAGTGTAATATCATTATTGTGACGACACGCAAGATACACAAAAGGACGGAATCGGAGAAAGTCAACAAAGAGTAGGCGGTGGCCGCATCTTCCTAAACGTTTGGATTTTTTCCACACTTAGAGTTTACAACAACTACCGGCATCAAGGACTTCGCGATTTCAAATAACCCCTTCACTTTGCACCGACGGTTGTGTCCATATATGGACAACTTTGACAGCTTTTGGGCGTGTGTGCCGGCCGCATTTGAGAACCATTGCTGGTCGCTACGTACTAACACGATTGTCGATAAAGATACGCACGACCATATCACCACTAACCGTATGTTCTTTGAAAAAAAAACGTCTGATAAAAAAAATAACAGATGCATGCGTGCGCATAAGATAGGCGACATGCACCGTTGAACGTTTACAACTAGTACCTAGATAGTAACAACAATCAACGAATTTTTAAAAATATTTTACTGCCATCAAGTTGATTGCATTAGAAGGGCTTTTCCCTCCTAATAATAATTTTCCCGGAGACAATGAATTAAAAATGCAATTCACGGCACAATTATAATTATTCAATGTTCGGTGTTTGACATGTCGACAAACTCGGAACAGGTAAAATCCATGAATACTGCTATCGCTCTATTGTATTTCACTCGGACAGGCCAAAAGCTCTCTGGAGATATCTACTTCACCAGAGCTAAAACAATATCAACAGAATCAGCAAAACCAACAAAGCTTTTGTCTTTGAACAAGAGTTGCGTTGGAAAATCCCGTTTGGGAAAACTAGAGTCAAAGTATAAATCCGTAGCCATTTACGATCCGCCGGGGCCGTTGAAACTTTACGACCGCGTGGGCCACGCCCCTAAAACCGAGGAGGGGTAGAAGTAATGCATATCGTGCCACGGGTGTTGCTATGGGAATGGGGCGCCGTCACCCCATGGAATAAACTTTATCGATACGGCAAAACTCATCTGGTCCACGAGATCCCGTGCACTTTGCCAAGGCAGAGCAACTATCATCGATCGTCGCATCCCTCAACACTGGAAATGGCAAAGCGAATTCGGTCGGCTCGTTGACGTGCCGGAAGTGTTATGATATTATTAACATTTTCCCTATTATTATACCAAGACGACGGTGTGACGAATATTTTGCATTATTTTTCTCGGGAGACCTTCGACGCGGTGTTAGACACTGCAGATGGCGAATGCCAAGGCCGCGTGTCACTGCCATCGTAGTCTGCACCTCCACTAACGAATGACTATGGTCACCTCTCTCAGCTTAAGAAGACCGCACACTTACCCGATGAGATTCCACAATTCTCTAACAGAATCTTTAATACTAGCGTAAGCAGCTTCGTCTAAACCCGAATATACTGACCTGTAACAGAAAACAAAAAAACAATTTAGGTCAAACTATTGCAACGGTTATTCTAATTAAGCTTATGTACGATTTGTTTGTATTATGAAATTTACATATTAACTTAAAGAGACGTGGATATTGCAATTGAATAGCGCTGTAATAACGAAATTAACACATAACAGAGTCGGTTACGGAGAGGGGAAAAGTTACGCCGAGAAAGGTGCCTACTCAATGGTGGCTGCATTGTTGTTGCCTTAGTCGAATTAAATTTCCACGACTGTGTTTGCCGAAGGCCTTCCTGGTTCCTTAAGTATAGAGTATACAAGGCCGGCGATAGAACGGTCAACACAATAAATAGAAATGCACAACAAAGACTGTTGATCGTTCCCCAACGAAATCAACTGTCGGCCGAAATCGAATAGCGAGTAATAGAATGTACTAGTGCAAATGAATGCATTTCAAAAATAGATTCTCTCATCATAATGACATAATGATATTGTAGTCGTGGAATCAATACTTTAACACACAGTCATTGCCTACTGTAACGAACACGATAACGCCAATGGTAACGAGAATTTCCACTGCCAGTGCCAAGGTGAACGTTTTACGCAACGTAATTTGTTAATTACGAGGCTACAACAGCAGTGTCAGTAATTGTGAATAACACAAAATATATTTTCCGAATGCAAAAAATACATTTATATTTGTTTTTACGTTTGGTTTAGTCGCAACGAAACCACAACGGTCATTGAGCTGAACATTCAACTAGGAAAAAAGGACTAAAGTGGTTAACAAGTAAGGCCAACCGGTAAGACTATGTCTCCTAAAAAACATATACGTGGAGGTTATAACTCGAAATATAGGAACGAGTCACAAAAAACTTTATGTTGTTACTTTAAATGTTTTTTGGTGGGAGTTCAAACGGTTCGGCGACCACGCGGAAGAGAAATAACAATATTAATGGACATGCCGTACACTTCAAGAGAGATGGTTCAAAACAGATATTCGACCGATGAATTATGTATAACGCATTTTATAATATTAATTATTCCTTCGCCGACATTTATTTCAGACGGAAGAGTGACTTGTGGCATTTACGTTGTGTTCCACATACACGTTTATATACTGCTGGATAACATATACCGTAGGTCCCAAAACCTTGTAATGCGAGCAAACGGCACTGCATTATAAGTACACGTTTACCAGAAATCTGGCGACCTGTAATACTCAATTTTCAAAACGAGAAGTATATCTTTGTAGAATATTTTTTTTCCTCGAGATTCTCAGACGGTACTACCTGACACAATAGAGCCGGGGATGACGTCGGGGGGGCGGAGGTGTAGATTTTCGGGTAAATTCTTCGGGCACGACCATTTTTCGTGCCAGTAAATGCTAACGCACACACGCACGCATTGTATCCTCGGTCTTTCTTTACACACAATATAGCGGAAAACGAGACAACAAAGAAACCAGGTGTGACGTCACCCGAACCAGCCTTCGAATCCTAGTCTGGCCTTGGTGGTCGAGAGAGGTGTTTGCTGCAGCGGTGGTGAGAATAGAGCACATACACACAATAACCTACCGGTGTGCGTATCCCCACCCGAGGACCGGTCGTGTCGGGTCTCGGCAAACCGAATTGTATGCGGCAGGAATAAAAACGCGCCGTGCGGTTCCATACGAACACAAAAACGCCTGGCAATACATAATGCATACGCATTATGTATAACACTATCGCGTAAAAAATATAACATTTTATCAAAAGCGTTTCTATAACTGATAACGACCGCAGGAGCGTGGTCGATAACTTCGCGGAAGATGATAACGTCGCGCTAGCCCATCAGACATAAAAAGTACACCGGTGCCATATCGACTTTTACACACAATGGGAATCCGACACGAAAATCATTATTTCGTGTCGCGACGACCAAACAATACACCCAGACGAGCAGATTAACGAAACGTAAGCGATTTCTTGCAACAATCGCTTTAACTGCGAATCACACACACACACACCACCCCACTACAAATGTTAATGGGTCGACACAATGGAATACAGTTACGGAGAAGACGGACGCGATTAGATAAATAACACACATTTTCTCTCACAGGCCACTTGTATTCTCCGAGCAAGTAAAATTTATACCGATCGATCATTTCGGCTTCCAATACAGTTCAAAATATCCCAAACGCAATACAGTCCGGTAAAACCGTTCATCACATGGGAAAACATGGTCGATGATCACACTATTCGATTACAGCGGGGTAACGTATGGTACTGCTGTAGAAAGAAGGGGCACGATAAATATTTATCTTAAGGGGGGGTTTGTACTTTACTAGTTTCATAACAACTCGCCTTAAACCACAATCGCCGAACAAGGTCGGCCGTGTTCAAGGTCACTTCCTTTTCGCCGACGACTCGTCGCCGCAGTGCCGTCACATGCGACCGCGTTTTCCCGTCCGCACGGCTTTCCCGACTATGTCGCAACCGGTTGCGTAAAAGCAACGCCGTTGCCTTCACCACCACCACACGAACCGTAGAGATATATATATATTACATACAAATACAGCAATAGTATAATAGCAATGTATACATGTGGGCCGCGCATACCCTTGACTCGATTGTAACTATGTTGTGACTAGGCGCCATAAAATGTCACGTGTATTTCCTAATTAGGCCACACACAAGTGTATGCACAAATATACACGTTTTCCCGAAAGTACATTGATACTATTTAGGTGGAGAATAATAAAAGCAAGTTCCTAAACTTTTCTTGAAAATCAAATGGTATAAAGAAATATGTAATTTTTAAATAATTGTGTTCCAAGTATTCGTCCAACGGGTGTACATTTTTTCTTCAAAAGTACTTTTTTTAACACGCGTTACATTAGTAAGATTACAATTTATGTTTTAATACACAATGAGAACACAATATCTAATACTTACGGTGGTAACAGCGTAGCCATTCTCATTTTAAGAGAATCGTGATAATCGCGATCCATATTAAGAAACTAAATTAAAACTAAAAAAACCTACACTAAAACAATGAATCAACAACGTGTTATGTAGCACCAACGCAACGAAAAATAACTAAGTAACGTTGTGAGCCGAACTGAAAACGCACCACTGTAGAGAACTGAGAGAGCGACGCGGCTTAAAGAAGACACGACGGCAGACGACTAACCGCCCTTGACACAGACGGTGGGAACCAAAGCCAAATAGGAATCCTCTTCTTTTATTGTTATTCTTCTCTCACTCTCTTTCTCCGTCAGACAATCGGTATTCCAGCACGGGGAACCCTTTCGCGCTCGGGGTCCGTCTGTAACCGTCGAAGGGATATGATAATGTCGTCCTAATGGTGTCATCGCACCTACTTTCTTAAACCGGTCCCGAGGGGTTTGTAAACGACACAGTGTTCGCAGCCGTCCGTTGAGGGGTCGTTGACTAAGATTTGAGAATCACTGCAGGGAATTTGTCCCGCATGAGGGATCCCGTTGTAAACGGTATTGCTGAGTATACAACCGGGTCTCCCAGTTAGACAATTACCTATTCCCTCTCGCCCTTTCTTAAGGTGTGAATCATTCGATATCTACGACGACGAACAGCTGATCCTCACACACGTATTAACGTCTAAGGGGTCAATACTAGTTGATAAAACGACTTTGAGCAATAGCCCTGCGATGCGATCAGCTGTTGACCAAAATTGTGGAATGTCCGCAGAAATTAGAGGAAAATAGCAAGTGCTGAGGAGGACCAACTGACATCGGTTACGAAATAGGGGCCGTCTAGATCGACAGAGATGGTGGCTGGTCGGGGAGAGTTTTGAACGTTCGTTCCCAGGACGGTACGGGTCGCAACGACCAGCAGCTGCTAGTTCCGCACAGCTGTGCTGCTGTTTTGCATACTTCAAAAAGAAAAAAATCCTCTACCACATTCTATTTGCGTTTACACATAATCTGTCACCAACTTAGATGCACGTTATGCGTGAAAGACAGCAAAAAATATACGAATAACTTTTTCACGCAGAACAACCGAATGTTACTACGTCGGCATTAAATGGCGTAAAATAGAATTACAGAGGCGTTTAAGTCATACTAGTTCAATTGAAGTATTAGTTTACTTAATCAAAAATAAAAGCAAGTGACAAAAATTTGAACATACGAGCCCAATAACCTCGGAGTAGACATTACATAATTTTTTTTTTATCAAAATAGAACTTCCATTACAACAGTTTTATAGTAAATTCATAGATATAAAAGAAAACTACGGTGCTCTATTTTCTCAGATTTTTTAAGGACAATAACGAATCCGTACGATCTGTGCGATACCTTGACCCGCATAATGACTTCTTCGTTGTCACTACAAAAATATACTCACACATAGTGGTAAATAATAATTATTTGATACAGCCGGACCCGGTTAGCCTTGTCTAAAAATGTCATGCACACTTAGCGAATAGTCGAGATTAAGAAGTTAGGTGGGAAAAGAAGGCGTGCGAATAGCGAACGGAACAGATTTTACTTGAAAATTTGTGTAGAACAAAAAAAACCATATTATTGAACAATCTATGTAACAACGATTGAATAATACAAGACTTTAGACAGGGCGGAGGGAGTTAAACGGCAGTTTTTTCCGCATGTCAACTCGACCGAAAAAAAACTGTACTATCGAATGATTTCACTTTTCACTTGAAACCACTGGCCAATTTCTAATAGTGCGCGAATAAATGCTAGAAAAATTAGGCCAAAGCGGTTAGACTCACCACGGGCTACGGAAATGTACCCTGAACACGATATAAAAAACATTTCGCAATAACAAAAAGCAACAACTATGGCCGGGGGAAGTGGCGGTAGTTATGTCATTTTTTCACGTAGGGACACAAAAACCTCCTACAACCTGAACGAACAGGTACTATAGGTCTCCACGTAGAGTGAACAGACGCACGGGAATTCACACAACTTTTGTTATTATGTTATTATACCGAGTGTCTACACATAAGTATCAGTTCTATAGATTGCTGTTGGGCCCGCTGCTGCTTCAGGATACAGACATACATATACATATATATTATTATTAAAACCACCTGGCGATATACCTGTCCCTCCTCGTCGGACGCCGAACGAATGCCCAGGTGTGCATCGGCTATGTACAAAGGTAGGTTTATGTTGGAGACTTGTATGCTTGTGTGTAGTTTTTAGAGGTGTAGGTGGACGAAAAAACTACGACCGACAGATGTACCAGGAAAGTCGCACAGCCGGACAAAAACTAGCAACAACTTCATCACGAGTTATTTGAACGCTACTCCATTAGCTCACATGATTCAATGCGAGTTATATAACGTTCATTGCCAATTATTAAAAACCAACCGCATAGAACGTCTTACTGCACAGTTTGTGAACAAAAACGAAGCTCAGTACTTCATTATCTCGAGTACATGTTCTCTATACGGAATACGAGCATGAGCACTTGGTGAACGGCAGCAAGCAAGGACGTGCTTAAGATTTTAAGACCCGCATATCATGCGTGTGCGTTGTGAGTCGCTGTTATAAACGGGTAACTGTAGGCAGCCAAGCGAGTTTACCATTATGTGTGCGCGCGCCCGGAGATAATAAACAAAGGACGGCCGCACAGATGGCCGACGCACAGTACGGCAACGTGGCCGTGGGCCGCACCGTCATCCCAGTGTACGTTTCAAGTCACGCTACGGCTTGATGATTCTTGAAAAAAGAAACCCAAACGCATCGCATTTTAGGAAACCTTTAGATCGACGACGGCAGAACATTCGGTACGAACGATATACGTTGGGAAGAAGGTTTCTTTGAGCGAAGGGTCCATACTACTGTAGTCGAATGGCATAGATGTTGGGGTGCGAAGAAACTCCGATACTCTGTGCATTTTACAACCGCAGCCGTGTCCCCATACCTTTTCCCCTAGTTCCAAAGATGCGCCCGTTAACGACATTTCCCTCTTTCTCCCGCTCTAGAGATTTCTAGAGTCATGTAATTGCTACGGGACACAGTCTGAACCGAATAATTTCACAGCGAAATCGGGTGCGTTCTCGTCTCTCTTTAATTATGAAACACATACCAGGTGGTAATGCCGTTAGTTAAGCACCGTGTGTTCATTACTTAATGTTATATTATTGCCACATAAATAATATAAAATACATTATTTTAACTCAATGTATCTATTAAGTGAAATGTTTGAACAATGAAAAAGATTATAGTCGTCATACATTTGCCCGTTTACAACGTTATTGTGCATTTATAATGATAAGAAATGATATTTTTTATCAGTCAGTTTTACGCGATTATGTAACAAAACTTAATCCTTAAAATGACGAGTAGTATTATTCAATCGATCTAGTAGAACTGAATACAACCTCGATTGAACCCAAATCCTTAACAGTCGGATAATGTGATTAGGAGTCCCATTTGTAAAAAGCAATAAAATAACTACCGTCACATTGTTCAATGCATGTTACATTTTAGCGTGAGCAAACCCATTAGAGTTTGCCATGGTCAAATACATACGGTTTTATCAGTGTAAGTTATACGAAATATATTTTTGACTTCAAAATTAAAACTACAAAATACAATTAACTACAAATTTGGTCAAACGCAAGTTTATCCGGTTGAAAACTATGTTATTAGGATTAGCTGTCGGTTGGGTTTAAGTGCATTTCAAACATGTTAAGCGCATTTATCACATCGTATACATTATGTACGCATACACATACGAATCGAGGGGAGCTTTTTTTTTTTTTTGCGCTCATACATTGTTTTGTTTGTAGTGCACACCACCCCTCTACCGACAGAGGGCATTGCGTAACCCAACCGTTACGATAAAAAGGGGATGGCAGCCGTTTTATGTATAATTACACGAGGCAACCACGATGGAGGTCAACGTCCCTGCGGCTCGTGCTGACCACCACCGGGCCCCTGGATTATAACGATATTATTAATTATACCGAGCGGCTGACACACGACGGTGGTCGAGCGGAAGCGAAAAACTTTCACTAGCAAACGAATTTGTCGTTCTTTGTGTTCGCGTATTTCGAAAAACACGCGGACGGTAAGCGCAGCTGTTGTGTAAGTCCCCTCTCTCAAATCATGGAACTTAGGTCAGACAGAAAATAAAAAAGAGAACGGCTGCGTTTGCTTGCGCGGCTGGGGATATAGGTTCAAGGGCAACCGAAGCGGTTTTTTCAAGACCGGTTCAATAAACGATGGCGTCCGCCACAGTTCATCGTCAAGTTCCTGCAAACGCCACTTGGGAGGGGCAAGACGACGGATGTCGTTTATACAAAGGGTCCGTAATAACAACTCGGGATTAAGCCATATGTTATCAGCAGTAGTGATAAGAAAAAGATGCCAACCAAAGGGTCTGGCGAAATAATGTATTTACCTAGTCTCCATACTGGTGACGGCCGTGTTGTACAGCTGTATCCTTCGATGATGCCTGAGGTGATTGGCAGCGGCGACAAACGCGGGCGGCAATACGATCGGTCGGAACCACGACGGGCCGAGCACATACGGCACTAAAAACACGATGGAGGAACCGTCACACCGGCAGACCCTACACGGCGGCGGCGGCGACGACGATAGGGGCGAACACGACGTATCGTAATAATTATAACTACCCGAAGTACCGGCAACGAACTGTAAACGGCTGCCGCAATAACAGCAAAAACGACTTACAGTCGAATTATCCACAGGCAACCAGTATACCGTAGTAGCAGCAGCAGTATTAGAAGACACTGTTGTCGCACCAGAATTATTTGTTGTCGTCGTCGTCGTCGTTGTCGCAATACAGTGGCGGGTCGGCAGAACCACTGCTGGCATGACAAACCGCGCGCTCAACACAAACTGGACGTCCTCAGGAATCGCGGTGTGCGCCCGACGACAATCCGCACGCACACGCACGGCGCCGTACGGCACTATCGATTATTTTCCGAGCGTCATTATGAACGTTGTCCCCCACCACGACGTTATTGCGGTACTCGGTTGCGTGCAGAGCTACTACTGCTGCCATAGCCAACAATCGTAATCGAGCACTATCGATACTTGTACCACGTGAAATCGGCACCGATGGTTTTGTTATGAGTATGCACACGAGTTACGGCGGCGCGTCGCATGCACGAGGAGTGTGCTAACAGCTGCGCAACGCCCTGCTCGCTTCGTGTACATTGTGGACGCCCTTGAATTGCCTTCGAGAGTTCTAAACACGGCGAGAGAACTAGAATTCGGGAAGGGAGTTTTTTTTTTTTATTACAACGAATTTTAGAAATTTGTAATTTAGTCATATATTTATTAATCGCACTTCAGTATTTCCTAGAAACACGAAAAATAATTTTTTTACACCATAAAAAATGATAATGGTTTCTATAAGATAAATAATCATTATTTTCGGTATTTATTCTTCATGGTTGGCCAAATTTACCGAGAAAATAACGATATAAAACAGCGATTGGTTGATTTGTCTAAACATTATCAATTCTACGTTAACATGGCACAATCAGCGACAACGGGCCAATATATTTGTTAGATTAAGTATACACACGTTCCTATAATCTACAAATGTAAATGACATATTTCTTTGGTGTCAAGTTAAAACAAAAAACGTTTGTCGAATAACTTGTACGGTTGAAAATATCACAATTATGATATGGTTCAAAGAGCGAATAGACTTTAGGCACGAGAATTATATCCCTCGAATGTTATATTGACATTTTAGTCGATTGTCAATTTTATTTAACGACAACAGAGAGTACAATTATAATTTACAATCATTTATGGTATTCGTCTAGACAACAATATGCTTTCTTTAAATCGATACTGAACTCGCATTTTCATATACGCATAGAAATGTGCCAATGGTCATATGATTGTTTTGCATTTATGTGAACGATTTACACACAAGAAATGCAACAAATACAAACAATAAACAGGAGTGATTTTATAGTGTAATCTCTATCAGATTTTTAAGTGTGGCTTAATCGCTCGTTCATTCATTTTTTTAATGGTGTTGATCATATATTTAAAGGTCTGTAAAACAATGGCAATTAAAGGGAAAAATTAATTTTCCAGATAATGTCTGAATAATTACTTGACACGTTGTATATATTTGTACATAAATGATGAGTAAAAAAAATCAAACTAATATATATCAGATAAACAGAATTATATTTCTTTAAATTTTATCATATTAGCAGTCAAAAATTGATAACATTATGCTTAATAGAATAATAAAAATCTTAAATGATATAATGCATAAAGCCAACAAAGATAAATGTAGGTTGGACAAAAACACACTGATTAATTTTGTCGCGAAAACTAAGCAGGAAAAAGTATATATTTTCGTCAGTAAATACACATTCCATAATCTTTGTTACCGAATGATAAAAAAAAAAAAAAAAAAAAG